ACAAACTCTGCCTCCTAGGTTCAAGCGATTCTTCTGCCTCAGCCTCCGGAGTGTCTGGGATTACAGGCATCTGCCACCACGCCTGGCTAATTTTTGTATTTTTAGTAGAAACGGGATTTCACCACGTTGGCCACGCTGGTCTCAGACTCCTGACCTCAAGTAATCCACCTGCCCCAGCCTCCCAAAACACTGGGATTACAGGCATGAGCTACCATGCCCAGCCTAAGACACTGTTAACATGGAGCACGCATCAAGCAACACTTGAGATGTATCAGTTTTGTGAGACTTTATACAAGCTAACAAATAAGAAGGCAAAAGAGAAGGCGTATGTTAAAGTATACCGTGTGTCTTAGGGTGACAGTCTTCTATTTTATATTATGATAATCTCATATATAAATCTGTGACCTTGAAGTAGGTTACTTAACACCTCAGTGTGTTCACCAATAAGACAGTGTGCCCCTTCCAACTTTCCCTTGAAGGATGATTATGACCTTGTCTAAGTGCAATCAGAATGTTAAGCAGAACAATAAGTATGGCAATTGTTTGGCATGCCTTTTCCTTTAAAATATGCTTGTTATTTTTTATATTCCATGCAGGGTGAATTTAAAGTGTCAGAGAGATATCTTACCATGGATGACTTGACAACTGCCCTGGAGGCGAACAGAGTGAGGGAGATGTTTGGCTCTGGTACAGCCTGTGTTGTTTGCCCAGTTTCTGACATACTGTACAAAGGCGAGGTACGACAAGTATTTCCTCCCTACCTATCATTTCCAATTACATTAATTTAAGCATGTGGATAAAATTGTATTTGGACTCAGAACTAAGATGCAAAAGTTTTATCATTCTTGTTTTTCTTTATTTTATTTTTTTCTTTTTATTATTAGTATAATTATACTTTGAATTCTGTTATACATGTGCAGAACGTGCAGGTTTGTTACACAGGTATACATGTGCCATGGTGGTTTGCTATATTCATCACCCCGTCATCTACATTAGGTATTTCTCCTAATGCTATCCTTCCCCTATCCCTCTCCTAGTCCCCCAGCCCCCTACAGCCCAGCAGGCCCCAGTGTGTGATGTTCCCCTTCCTGTGTCCATGTGTTCTCATTGTTGAGTAACCACTTATGAGTGAGAACATGCGGTGCTTGGTTTTCTGTTCTCGTGTCAGTTTACTGAGAATGGTGGTTTCCAGCTAGAGATGGGGTCTTGCTATATTGCCCAGAATGGAGTGCAGTGGCTATTCACAGGTGTGATCATAGCTCACTGCAGCCTCAAACTCCTGGGGTCAAGCAATCCTTGTGCTTCAGCCTCCAGAGATGCTGGGACTATAGGAGCGCACCATTGCACCCTGCTAGATTTTTTTTTTTTTTAACTTGGCATTAAAAAAAATAACTGGGACAGTGTATCCAGATGAAACTGAATTAGCATATTTCTACTATGTTTCCAGTGATTTCATAGAAGTGAGTTTTGTCCTTGGACAGGTGTAAGATCTGTCTTACCTAAATGTAGGGATTGGAGCTATGCTGCTAGCCTTCTATTCTTCTCTCTTCCTTCCTACCAGCACACTGAGGAAGGCTCTATAGGTAGTTACATTTCAGTTTCTGGTTACCAAAAGTACTTCCAAACTACTGGATTAGGAATGGCAAATAATTATGGAAAATGCATTTGAATGGTCAATTCCTCGATTTATTACTATTAGTGTTGTTATCATTAATAATGAATAGACCACTGTACAAGAATTATTCATTGGCAAACCTGGTGTATTTACTAAAATCTTACAAAAGGAATTCAAGGATTTGGTAGGAAGAAATGTTTTCCTCCTAGTAAATTAGTCTGATTTGATATGTGTCATACTTTTGTTTTCTTGTCAATTGTTGTGCATTCCTCTTTATAACAAAGCTCCAATACTTACGGTTAACGTTGGCATCTAACTTCATAACTTAAAGGCATGCAAGCATTACCTTTATAATGTGAACTGGCTTAGTTACTCATGTTAAACAGTGGATCCTTGAACAACACAAGGGTTGGGGTGTCAACCCTCATACAGTTGAAAAACCCGCATATTAATTTTTTTTTTTTTTTTAGACAGGGTCTTTGTCATCCATGCTGGAGTGCAGGGGCACAATCTTAGCTCACTGCAATCTCCGCCTCCCAAGCTCAAGCAATTCTCCCACCTCAGCCTCCCAAGTAGCTGGTGTGCAGCACCATGCCCAGCTAATTTTAGTACTCTTTGTAGAGACAGGGTTTCAAGATGTTGAGTTCCAGTGATCCACCTGCCTTGGCCTCCCAAAGTGCTGGGATTACAGGCGTGAGCCACCACACCTGGCCGACATATAACTTTTGACTCTCCAAAAACTTAACTACTGTTGACCAGAAGCCTTATCAATAACAAAAACAGTTGATTGGCACATATTTTGTAAGTTGTATATGTTATATATGTATTCTTACAATAAAGTAAGTTAAAAAAATTGTAGGGAAGAAAAAATATATTTACTATTCATTAAGAGGAAGTGGATTATCATAAAGGTCTTCATCGTCTTTGTCCATCTTATTGGGTAGGCTGAGGAGGAGGAGAAGGGATTGGTCTTGCTGTTTTAGGAATGGTAGAGGCAGAAGAAAGTCCATGTCTAAGTGAACTTGTGTAGTTCAAATCCATGTTGTTCAAATGTCAACTGTAAATGCAAATTCTACTGGTTTTCAAATTTTACTTTATAGTTATTTTTCCTCAACTAATCGGAGTTTTCCTCAACTCCTCTGACTTTAATGGTGGCTGCTTCATTTGTTGAAGAACTTGCTTTTAAGGGATTGCTCTTGACATAATTCCATCTACAGATTGACAGTTTCATGGGAGAAGAATTATTCTGTTTTATATGAGCACTTACATTGTTAATAATGCTACTGTTTACTGTCTTACTATGGTAGCATTGAGGTAATGTGATCAATCCATTAATGATGGTGTCATTAGGCTGTTTTTTTTTTTTTTCTTTTCTTAATTTATTATTTATTATTATTTTTAAGATGGGGTTTCACCGTATTGGTCAGGCTGGTCTCGAGCTCCTGACCTCAGGTGATCCGCCCATCTCAGCCTCCCAAAGCGCTGGGATTACAGGAGTGAGCCACCGCGCCTGGCTCCAGGCCAGTTTTTTTTTAAGTTTAATTATTACTTCACTTCTAGAAATAAGAAATTTATAAAGTTTAGCATAATTTTAATGGTCCTGGCTTAGGGAGCATTTACAGCCAACAATATATCTAATTATCCTATTGTACTAAAGGGAAAAGTGTTTGAAAGCACAGACTATCTCCGAAAATCAAACTATCAAAACCTGCAAGCCAGCAAGACATGAGTAGACATGACTCAGGTACAAATTAGAAGCATGAAATCTCTTTCAGCCATGCTTTTAATCATACTGTCCAGTATTATGGAGGTAGTGGCCCCTAGAAGTTTAGCTTGGGCCAGAGGTAGGTATAGAAGCCACTTTTATGAATGCGTAGACTTGCTTTAATTTATGCTCCCAGAATGACTTGCATTAAATTGTGGCAAAATATCTTTGAGTTTGCATTCCTGCCAAAGGGTTAACATGTAGAAGACAGTCATGCATCCTTACAGATTCTCAGAATCTTGGAAGAGGTAGGGTTCTTTAAGTGTAGCTGCTATTTTCAGTACCTGTAGCTTCCCCTTGGTTCTTCAAATGATCCTGAAGATTGGTATACAAACTGTTTATGCCCTAAAATTAATTGGTAGGCAATGTACAACCTATCATTGGCTAGTTTTTATTCAAATTTAGAATACAAAAGTCTTTGGCATAAGGAGCTAGCATGCAGACAGTAGGTTTTAGTGCTATTCCTTAACTTCAGTGGAATTGCCTTAGCACAGCAGAATCACTGAGTGTCTTATCTATCGCATATACATGAATACCCTCAAATTATCTTGTTTCCCTTTATTTTGTAGACAATACACATTCCAACTATGGAGAACGGTCCTAAGCTGGCAAGCCGTATCTTGAGCAAATTAACTGATATCCAGGTAAAGGTTTTCTTTTGTATTCTTTTCTTTCACCTTATTTCTGTCAGAGCTTACAACTAAATTGTGTTTCAATGAAAAAGAGTAAATATTATAAGTTGAGATCAATAAGTTAAATTTAAGGAAGAAATTCCCAACACTGTGTGTGGGCATGAGCAAAACAGAAATGGGAAAGAGGATCTATGTTTTTAAAAAAGAAAGAAAATATTGTTCAGGACTACATTACTTAACATTAAAAAATATATGTAAATTTTGATAACATCTAAAAATCTCATTAAGAAATATAACGTACTTCTGTTTTAAAAAAAAAAAGGAAGAAAAAACTTGAAAGTATAAGAAACTATAGGAAGAAAATTACAGTACATGATTCCAACACTGAGATATAATCACTCTTAATTTTTGATGTCTTTTTTTTTTTTTTTTTTTTTTTTATTTTTGTGTTTTTTTTTTGTTTCCCAGGCTGGAGTGCAATGGCACGATCTTGGCTCACTGCAACCTCTGCCTCTCGGGTTCAAGCAATTCTCCTGCCTCAGCTTCACTAGTATCTGGGATTATAGGCATGGGCCACCACAGCCCGCTAATTTTTGTATTTTTAGTAGAGACATGGTTTCACCATGTTGGCCAGGCTGGTCTCGAACTCCTGACCTCAGGTGATCCACCCGCCTCAGCCTCCCAAAGTGCTGGTATTACAGGCACGAGCCACCACACCCAGCCAATTTTTGATGTCTTAAACTTCATTATTTTGTAAGCATTTTATTTATTTATTTATTTTTGAGACAGAGTCTTACTCTGTCACCCATGCTGGTGTGCAGTGGTGTGATCTCAGCTCACTGCAATCTCTGACTCCCGGGTTCAAGCAGTTCTCCTGCCTCATCCTCCTGAGTAACTGGGATTACAGGCCTCTTGCCACCATTCCAGGCTAATTTTTGTATTTTTAATAGAGATGAGGTTTTGCCATATTGGCCAGGCTGGTCTCGAACTCCTGACCTCAGTGGTGATCCACCCATCTTGGCTTCCCAAAGTGCTGGGATTACAGCTGTGAGCCACCATACCCAGTCAGTATACTTTTAGACAATGGCATGAGCCATTGTCTCTGGCCAGCAAAGGTTTCTTATGTAAGACTGAAAAACACAGGCTATCAAAGCAAAAATAGGCAGTTGGGATTATGTTAAGCTGAAAAGCTGCATAGCAAAGGAAACAATCAACAAAGGGAATAGACTACCCAAAGAATGGGTGAAAATATTTGCAAACTCTCTATCTGACAAGGGAGTAATAACCAGAATCTATAAGGAACTCAAACAACTGTACAGGAAAACTTGAATAATATGGTTTTAAAATGGGCATGAGACCTGAATAGACAATTCAGTAGGAAAAAAATCTGATTAAAAATGGGTAAAATAGCTGAATGGACATTTCTCCAAAGAAGACATACAAATGGCCAGCAGGTACATGAAAAAATGCTAACATCACCAATCATAAGAGAAATGCAAAGCAAAATCGCAATGTAAAATCCACCCGCCCTAGTTAAAATGCTTTGTATTTAAAAAACAAGCAATAACAAATGCTGGGAAGATGTGGAGAAAAGAACCATCATATATTGTTGGTTGACATATAAATAGTACAGCCACTAATGGAGAACAGTGTGGAGGTTACTCAAAAAACTAAAAGTAGAACTAGCACTTCAGTGTGATCCAGCAATTCCACCACTGGTTATATATCCAAAAGCAAAAAAAATCAATATATCAAAGAACATCTGCACTCCCATGTTTATTGCAATAGTATCACAATAGCCAAGATAGGGAATTAACAGATGAATGGATAAAGTGAATGTGGCATACACACACACACACACACACACACACACACACACACACAATGGAGTACTATTTGACCATAAAAAGAATGAAATCCTGTCATTTGCAGCAACATATATGGAACTGGGGGGCATTTTGTTAAGTGAAATAAGCCAGGGACCGAAAGACAAATATCATACATTCTCATGCAGGTGCTAAAAAAGTGGATCCCATAAAGACAGAAAGTAGATTAGAGGTTACCAGAGGCCGAGAAGGGGAGTGGGAAGGAGAGGATGAAGGAAAAGAACAAGAATATAAATGTATTTATTACCATTAAGCTGAACACTTAAAAATGGTAAAGATAGTAAATTATATGTGTGTATTTTATCTGAATTAAAATTTTAAAAATTAGGAGTTTAGAAATGTTTAAGAGAAGTGTGCCCATAGTGATAAGAAAGAAAGACCATTTTGGAAAATTTTCTTGAACAAATTTTATAGTATTTTCTTAAACAAATTGTACATTCTAGAGTGGTTAATATACCAAGTAAGATTTCAAGGTTACCTCTTGGAGATTGTACAATTGTGCCACAGCACTCCACTCCAGGAAGGAAGGAAGGAAGGAAGGGAGGGAGGGAGGGAGGGAGGGAGGGAGAGAGGAAAGAAGGGAGGAAAGAAGGGAGGGAGGAAAAGAGGAGGAAGAGAGTGAGGGTGGGAGATGCCACTCACTTTTTAGAACAAACAGATCTCCTGAGAACTCACTCGCTATCATGAGAACAGCAAGGGGAAGGTTTACTCCCATGATCCAGTTACCTGCCACCAGGACCCTTCCTCCAATATGGGGGATTATAATTCCACATGAGATTTGGGTGGAAACAGTGGTCCTGAACTAAAAACAAACCAAATGTGCCACAAATTGTTAAGTAACAAAGGACCATCCCTTCAAAATCAAAGAACATGTCTCAGTTATTTTATGCCTGTGTCCCTGGAACCTAAGGTCTCAAAATTACTCTCTTACAAGATGGCAAATTGAGACTGTCAGCCAAGCTACTAGCTTGTCTGTTTCTCTAAGAAAAATAAATTTCAGTAATTATTAAGGAAAAAACATAGAATTGCATCATGTTTTACATCTGATTTCTTTTGGCATTGCATGGAAGCATGGATGTTTTCTACAAAGTGCTCTGATAAATTGAAGAAGAGGCCAGCAACAGCCACCAAAAAAGCCTTCAAGATTCTTGCCAGTTTGGCCCAGGGGAAAAATTCTCTCATAACCACAGATTTGACTTTTCAACTTCTGTTCTTCTGTATATGAGTAATAATCTCTGAGGTTAAGTATTCATCCCATTTAGCTACTTGTCCACATAACTCCCTGGATCTTAGATTGCTCTATAAATACCTCCTAAGAGATGAATTTTTCAAATAAAAGTTTCTTTTTTCCTTTTTATTTAAAGCAACAAAGAAAAACACATCTGTGTTTATATTTAACCAAACTTGAACTTGGAGAGCACGTTCCACGTTGTCGGCATGTTTCTTTTCTCTGCGGTTAAACTCCTTACTGTTCCAGTTACTCACCATCATACTCACCTTTGCTTCAGCCACGTGGGGTCCTGTGTTCTGCAAATGTGCTCTGCTCTCTGATGCGTCCAGGTTTTGCTGCGCCTCTAGAAATTTCTCACCTGGATAAGGCCTTGGCTATCCTCTATGACTCATTCCTTTAGGAACCTTCCCTCTGTCCAAATACACGTTCATTCACTTGAATGCTGCTTCTTCCTCCAGTTTCACAGTGCCGTGGATGATCCCATAAGGTCTTTAAATTACATTATAATGAGTCACGCACTTGTCTCTGCTCTAGGGTTGTTTGGATTGTTCACTCTCTTTTTATACCTCCAGTGTTCAGCACAGATCCTGGGGTATAATGCATATGCAGTAATGTTTCTTGAAGGAATGAAAGGGCAAGTGAACCACCAAACAAATGCTAAAGAATAAAAAATGTATTGCACTTGTATATTAACACATTCTGAGAAGAGATGAGAGGAAGCTCTTGAATAATGCCAAATTATTTCTTAGAGAACCTGATTTAGATTTTTTTCAAAATGAGATACATGTTCGTACTGCTGTTCTAATCAAATAAAAAGTAGAGTCTGGGTTGAAAGTATGGGGGGAGCATGTGTGAACCAGCACTGCTGCTGTTGAGGCTCTGTAAAGTGGGAAGCAGTGATTGCAAAGATCCAGAGACGGACATCTGAAGCATAGGAAAGGGGCAGCTTGAATGGGACAGGAGCAGGGTCTGCATTGATTGCAGGTCAGCAGATAGAATTAAAAAATATTTGTTCTCACTAGTGAATACAGTTTTGTAGGCACAAATGACTATTAGTGGTTATTGTATTTGTCTTGTTTTCAATGGAGCAGCTCCATGACTTAGTTACATAAGAAGTTAAAAGTCCCACCCCTTTCCCTGCTGATGTCCTAAGCTGACTGCTGTGTGCATACAAACTTCATCTCTAGATTGCCCTGGTGTGACTTAGTTCCTGGACCACCTTCCCAGCACATCCTCTTCCATGTGTTACATGATTACAAAGCTTTGCACAGCCTTTCAATAGGGCTTAGAACAAGAATGACAAATTGCTACCTGGTAGGCGGCACTGACTATATTTTTTTTGGTGTTGCATAGAGTGACTGCATGACATGCAGGATGTGCTTTGTTTTGCCAGGAACTTTCTGTTGAATGTAAAAGCCATTTAGCAAAGGCCATATGAAATTATCTGCCTTATGCACCTCAAATGTGAAGTAATGAACTTGTCATTAGTCATGTTTTAGTTTAGTGTTCTAGCTGGAACTTACAAAAGATTAAAATTCTGCACATTTCATTGAGTCTTCCACATGGACTCCAAATACCATCCCACAGGCTCGACCTGACTTGCCATGTTGCTTTGACACCATCTCAGAGTTCAATGAACAAAACGAAGTAAGTGTGACTTACAGCCGGCCTACCAGACATTGAAGGTGTGAGCCTGCCCTGTTGTTTTGTAATGACAGCGACAAGAGTATAATGACATCCTAGTCCGTGAAGACATGCTTTCTCTTTTTCCTCTCTCTCTGTACACTTACTCTTAAGGAAATAATATGATTCCTATTTCTGCTTAAATCTGCCATCTCTACTTAAAATTATTTCCCCTTGAAAAATTAAATTGCATTATCCATCAGCCAAATGAAAAATTTGATTACTAAATGTCTAGTTCTAGACATTATGAATTACCTGTAATATCACATTTCTTGGGCACTTCTCAGAATGTTGTGATTTTACATAAAAGCATAAATGACAGAATGAGAGGAGTAAAACAGTACATATTATGTGGGTTCGTAGAGTCATATGTTGCCTACGACTGTCATTGTAATCAAAATTGATTTTTGATCATTTATAAAACTAAAACAACTAATTGAAAGCAAATTTACTTTAACTGATGAAATGCAAGATGAAGTGACAGTAGTCATGAATCACAGTTCTGTAGATCTGCTAAAATGTCAATACACTGACACTCAATTGTTATTAATGGCAAAAGTGTTTAATATATTAATGGGAATCCAAAGAACGGAAATAAAATACATATTTTGCCCTTACCTTAAGTCATGTTGACACCATACATAAATCAGGTAGAATTTGAAGATGTTTCATCCAGCATTCATCATGAAGCAACAGAGTCAATAGTGGGTGGTGACAGTCTGTAGGCAATGCTTTCTGGTGTGGATTATGCAAGAAACTTACAGTCATTTGGCTTCCTTTCTTCTCCTTTTTATGTAAACTACAAGGTGGTAGGTAGACCTATTCTTGGCTGCCAGTACTTTTACCACTTGGATAGATTCTGCTCTCTGAGGTCTTTAAGAGAAACACAGCACATGTACAGTGTGACACAGGATAAATAAAACCAGACAGAAGCAGAGAACTGGGCTTGTCAAAATTAAGGGTGACCTAGAGCCTTAGTGTCCTTACATGCCAAGAAGCTAGGATTAAAATTCATTGCTCTTTACACTTGATTTTTATGCAGCAGAACTTTCTTCAAAAGAGATTATTCTGGAATCCCAATATACAAAATGGATAAAAGTAGGAATATTCTGAAGTAAAGAAGTAAAATCCAGAGCCCCACTTATTTGAGTCAACTCCTATGTTTTAGATGGTCATTAATGTTGTTTCTAGTTCAGAAATTCTGATGTTTTATATTAATTTAAACTAAAGTTATATTATGACTAGAAGAGCCATTTCATGTGAAAATAGACATGGTCTGAGTAATTAGGGCAAACTCACAATGATAGATTTAGTGGCCTGATACACTGGGTTGGAAAGATCTGTTCCAAGTCAGTCTCCATACACATGGCTCTCTGAACACGTGGAGAGCAGTCCTGGTGGTGGTCAAGAACATGGAATCTGCTGCGAGAGAGACTTTAGTTAGGGTCTGGGCCCTTCCATTTGTTAACTGCAAACTTGAGCAAGTTACTCAATCTCCTTAATATTCAGTTTTCTCATCCATAAAATGGACTGATAATGGTACCTTCTGTGTACAGTTTCTATGAGTATTAAATGAGGTAATAAGCCTGTAAAACTCTTGGCATGATGACACTGGCATACAGTAATTGGTCAGAGTGAGAGCTTATTATAAACACAGCCATTTTTGTTGAATGACTGACCGAGTGAATGAATTAATATGGAACTAGCTTTCTATTCGTGATGTATGAAATATCTCTGTTTCATTTAATTTCATTTTAAATGTTAAAATTCAGACTTACTTTTAAAGCAAAGTATTTGCTGATGCAAAGAATCAAATTCTGACTATGATACATATGTGACATAACTTTTGAAGGAATAAGAAAGATGCTAACATAGCATGAACAACTGATTTAGAGAACAGAGTCTTTGTTAAGATCCATGGGACTTGTCAATTTCATATTTTTGTTTATGAACATAAAACGCTCTAGTGTATGTCAGAATCACTTGATGCTTGCTGAATCGCCGGTTGCTGTGACCCATCCCCACAGTTTCTGATTCTGTCTGAGATGAGGTCGGAGAATTTGCATTTTTGTTGCCAGGTGATGCTGATGCTGGTGGTCTGGGAATACACTTTGAGCATCACTTTTTCCAAAGTAAAAGTCACAGCTGTAAAATAATTTAACTTGATGAGAAATGATAATGAGAAGGCATGTACCTAATAGATAAAGGACCTATACCAGCTATGAATTTGAGGTCAGCAATAATTGTAAAATTTGTGATTCTTTTCCGGTATTTGGTTGTTTAAAAATCTCACTACGTATGCTTTTATCATATTTTTTTTACATGGTGTCCTCTTTTCCTCTCTTTCTCTCTAATTCAGTTTTTAATATGAAAATGTTTTCTTTTGTTGTTCAAAGCAGAAGTGAACCTTCTGTGTAACCTTGGTAGTATTGTTTGTTTGTAAGCTATTTCTGCCCTGTTAGTTTTTGTACTGAAACATGTTTTCTTGCTTTTGTTGCAGTATGGACGAGAAGAGAACAACTGGACAATTGTACTATCCTGAATGGAAAATAGAAGATACCAACTGTATGCTATTGGGACAGACTGTTGCATTTGAATTGTGATAGGTTTCTTTGGCTACCTGTTAGTAGTTGTCATAATGTAGTTTGTAGTATCAGTGTGTTACAAGAGTGATCGTTTCTTCATGCCAGAGAACATGAATTGCAATCATCAAATGGTGTTTCGTAAGTTAGTAGTTGTAGCTTACCTTACCTTAACCCTACCTAGAAAAATATTAATGTAAGCCATATAACATGGGATTTTCCTCAGTGATTTTAGTGCCTCCCTTTGTACTTCACTCAGATACTAAAACAGTTGTTTTTTCTTTAATATAAGTTATATTTTGCTCCTCAACCAAATGCAGTTTTTTGTGTGTTTGAAAGCTAATCGGAGTAAATTTCATAGGTTACATTTCCTGCCGCCTATCTTTATCTTCACAAAGCGTTTTCTTTTTTTTTAAAAATCAAGGCTTTTAAAACTGCATTTCCTCCTGTCACAGTTTTCTGCACACCCTCCAAGTCCATCTTAAGGTAAATATCTCTCTTCTTCCTGATGTCACAATCTGAGCATACCCTGTGCATTAGGAAGACCTGAGTGCATTTTTCACCATTGTCCTTTTCACATGATATTGTAGCTGGCTGTCTGTCAGATGACTACAAGACTGAGGGTCTTGTGCCTTACAGATCTTTGTATCCCCAATGGCTGACACACAGTAGGTACTGAGTAAACAGTTTATATAATGAATGAATGGACATTTTGCTTCTATAGAAGTGTACCTTCTTTGTTTCTATATTATGAAACCTCTTTGTTAGAATTTGTGATTGATTCTGACATTGTATAGATTTACCGTACATGGTCTTTATTTTCCATGAGCTACTAAGTCATTAGAGATACTCCAAAGCATAGTTTGGGGAATCTTTTCATACTGACTGTGTTGGAATTGTCTTGAAATTGAAGATATATTTCTAGAGCAGGGGACTCCAGCCCCCAGGCCACAGGCCACACAGCAGAGGAGGTGAGTGGTGGGCCAGTGAGAAGCTTCATCTGTATTAACAGCTACTTCCCATCACTCGCATTACCACCTGAGCTCCACCTCTTGTCAGGTCAATGGCAGCATTAGATTCTCATAGGAGCGTAACCTATTGTGAACTGTGCATGCAAGGGATCTAGGCTATGTGCTCCTTATGAGAATCTAATGCCTGATGATCTGAGGTGGAACAGTTTCATCCTGAAACTTCTTCCACCCCACAGTCTGTGGAAAAATTACCTTCGACAAAACTGGTGCCTGGTGCCAAAAAGGTTGGGGACTACTGCTCTAGAGAGAGGTCATGATATCATCCCAACCAAATGGAAATGACAAATGTTTATGTTAAATGTTAATTGCAGAAATAAATCTTTTTTTGGGTGAGGGGTAGATAACAAAGAGACATACTCTGATTTTTATACTCTGCTTTTGCAGGTGCTCTTTTCTTTAAATGGAGATTTCATGAGCAAGTGGTTAGGATACAGGGAGAGCTATTATGGGTGATATTTTCCTTGTCTAGGAGCTGTGAGTTAAAATTACATCCTTTCTTGTTTATCTAGGGGAAAGTCAAATCTTGACAGAAAACATTTTTCCTTGGAAAGTCAACTCTCAGACGTTGCATTTTGGTTTTCCTCAGTCCTCATAACTTTCTTCTTGCTGAACATATTTTATTCTCTTTTCAGAAAAGGAAAAAGAACATTCTAAAAGTTTGATGCATTGGAAAAATTTCCTTGAGGCATTTAGCAACGCATAGCAAATGGGCTTTGATTCTTTTCCAAAACTTTTAGCCATAAGGTCTTTTACAGACAGGAATAGTAAAATGAAAATTGAGAAATATAAGATGAAAAGGAATGGTAAAAATCTCTTTGAGTGGGCTTTTAATTGGTGATCTGAAGTCTTGGGAGAGGCTGTTCTTTTCAGGCCTGAGGTGCTCTTGACTGTCTCCTACACACTGTGTATCCCAAGCAAGCATTCTAAGGGTGTGCTTTTGCCTTGGCGAACTCCTTTGACCTAATTCTTAATATAGTAGTCTGGGAAAGACTTGCAGGTAATTTCAGCTGTCAAGCGATACATAGTAACTAGCTTTCTATTCCTATGAGAAATGAGAATTATTTATTTGCCATGAATACATTTTATACTTTGCATCTCCAGATTTTTTATGGCAGGACATGCCCATTGCGAAGCTAGAGAACATTATGTTTGTAACATTTCTTTCATAAAACCTTAAGAGCATTTTTAAGCCCTTTCCGTCAGACCCAGTGAAAACTAAGGATAGATGTTTTTAAAAACTAGAGGTCTCCTGATACAGAGAACACAATCCACCATTGTCATTCAAGTAGTAAGACAGGAAATTGACCTTGATGCTTTCTTGTTAAATAGATTTAACAGGAACATCTGCACATCTTTTTTCCTTGTGTACTATTTGTTTAATTGCAGTGGATTAATACAGCAAGAGTGCCACATTATAACTAGGCAATTATCCATTCTTCAAGACTTAGTTATTGTCACACTAATTGATCATTTAAGGCATAAGATAGTCTAGCATTTGGAACATGTGAAGCTAATCTGCTCAAAAAGATCAACAAATTAATATTGTTGCTATTTGCATAATTGGCTGCAATTATTTAATGTTTAATTGGGTTGATCAAATGAGATTCAGCAATTCACATGTGCATTAATATAAACAGAACTGGTGGCACTTAAAATGATAATGATTAACTTATTTTGCATGTTCTCTTCCTTTCACTTTTTTCAGTTTTTTCATTTTCAGACCAAGCTTGTCAGCTTTTTCGAAAACGCATCAGTAGAAACCAGGATTTTAAAATGAAGTATCAAGACAAAGGCAAAACCTGAGCAGTTCCTAAAAAGATTTGCTGTTAGAAATTTTCTTTGTGGCAGTCATTTATTAAGGATTCAACTCATGATACACCAAAAGAAGAGTTGACTTCAGAGGCATGTTCCATGCTCTCTAGTACAGGAACGAATACATTTATAACACCTGCTTTAGCCTTTATTTTCAAAAGCGCAAAGGAAAAGGGAAAGAGAAATAAGTGACTGAGAAGTCTTGTTAGGAAATCATGTTTTTTTCCTACCTAGTAAACATCCTTTATTCTTTTCTTAAAAGATTGCTATAAGAAAAAAAAGACCAGAGGCAGAAGCAGGCAGCAGCAAGAAGCAGAGTGTAACATCAGTTAGATGGTGGCATGCAATGTCCGCTCTCTTGAAGATATAGGAAACCTATGTTATATGCCCTGGGTTAAAATTCTTCACCATATTAGTTTTCCTGCTTCATAAACTTGCACCTAAGCAAGTGGTCTTGCTTGACTCAAATCCAAGCACTCTTGAACATTTGAAGGCAATTAATGAG